AGAGTTGAAGAATGTGGCTAGAAATAAAATATAGGAAAAAAATCTATGATTTTTCTGTATACCGGTAATAATCGGTTATAAAATATGATGAAAAATGAGGTCATTCATAATTAAAATAAATAGTATATAGGATCCATGTTTTAAAATAACAGCATTTGACAATGGGTAAACATTTCAGAAACACATTTAAATAATCCACAATGTAAGGGGGAGTGCTGGTGCCCTCAGAACACTAATATCAATAGTAACAAAAATGGTATTATCATTTTTGGAACTCTGTAAGGAAATGAATACTAAATGCTCTAGCAGCCTAAAATCTCTTTCTTTCCTTGCCTTTATTTGTCAAGAAATTTATACCGTGGAAATTACTAGAGATCTCTTCAAAGACTTATTTCCAAGGATATGCACTGAAGTATTTTTTATAAATCCAGGAAATAATTGAAATGTAGCACAAAATGGATTAGGTAAATACATTTGTTCTATTCATACACAATGGAGTAGTTTGCAGTTATTGAAAAGATGCTTGTTACAAGGATATTTGTTGGTTTGGAAGGACTTATGTAATATGATAAATGAAAAAGCAGTTTTCTCAGTGGTAGGTACAGAGTGACCTCGTTTTAAAGCAGGCGTGATGTGACAATGGGCAGGTTTGGGAGAAAGACCAGACTAGGTGTCCTGGGAGTGTCAGCTGGCATAGAGGCCACGTGTCTGCAATGTGAGTCTTCGGGAGGTGGCAGTCCTGAGAGGAAGTACATAGAGACAGAACCAGGGGAAAGGAAAGCTACACGTATATGCATAATTCTCCCCTATGGCTCCACATGTCTGTAGTGAAACACACTTCCCAAGGTTGGATTTCTTGTGGAAGGTGCATGGGACTGAGTTTGGCACTATCACTATGGACAGAGGAGCATGTTAGTTATTTATTGCTGTGTAAAAAATTATGCCCAAAGTTAGTAGATATTATCTCACATTATTTATGATCTCACACAGTTTCTGAGGGTTAGGAGTCTGGGATTGACTTAGCTGGATGGTGTTGGTTCAGGTATCACATGTCAGGCTTGACTGGGGTGGGAGGGTCTGCTTCCAAGTGACTTTCATTCCTCACCACGTGGGTCTCTCCACTGGGCTGCTCACAGCATGGTGTCCACCACAGCAAGGAATCAGAGAGAGAGGGAGAGGGATTGAGTGCCTAGGACAAAAGTCACAGTCTTTACAAGCTACTTTCAGAAGTGACATACCGTTCGTCTGCCATACACTACTAGATGCATAGATTAACACTAACACAGTGTGGGCGGGCACTGTACAAGGGTGTGAATGCTGGGACGCCATTAGGGGACATCTTGGAGACTGTGGGGAGACAAGAGAGAGTGGAGTTAGGGTGGAGGGTGAGCCCTGATGACACAGGGGCAGACGGTGGGGCAATCACAGGTAATATGTTGGATTCATCAAGTGGTAAAATAAGACTTTGGAGCTAAGTTTATCTACATCTCCAAGGGTCTTATAGGCTTAAGTTGCCGTATGGAGTATGCACAGGATTGGATTGAAACCTTTTGCTGTCTATTAGGGAAAAATTGGGGGATCAAAGAGAATCTGCTTGAGAATGGTGCCATTCAACACAAATAGCCCAAGCAGAGGGACTTGCCGTTAACATGAAGTGTCTTTACAGTGAAACGCAAGCCTGGAAGAAAGGCAACTGTATAAAAAAGTCCACAGATATTATTCATTTACAAGTTATGCGATAGGAAGAATGTGTGTAAATGTAGCTGTCAATACCCAAGCCCTGCTAGCAAGTTCTCAAACCAGCAAATAATTCTGCTTTTGGCAGTTGAGATGCACTCATTTCAGGTAGAGAAACACTGAATCAAATTCAGGGACAGTGGTTTCCTCCCACCTTTTCATCGCACCCCAGTGAACCCACCCACAGAGTCAGAGCTACCCCGCGTTCCTGCGAAAGAGACAGAAGACTCCTTTGATGTCCAGCTGAAGCTCGAAGCAGCACAGCCTGTAGGTACAAGAGGAGAGGGATGGGACTTTACTGCCCTCTGGAGAGGGGTCCTTGGTAAAAGGGACCCAACAGCAGGTGGAGAAGGTCTTGAGGGAGGTCTGTGAGAAGAGCACAAGGAAAGTTGGCGGACAGAGAGTTAGGAAGTCAGGGTGTGCCCTCGTGGGACTTTTCCCAGAGGCCTTTTTGTGACACAGGAGTCCAGGTAGCTGGGTCGCTGAGTAAAGGTGTGTCTCCTCATCTGCCTACCTGCAAAAAGGAAATGTAGATTTCTATCAAAATTCAGCTCCTGGTTTGTGGCAGACAGAAGAGGTTGTGCTAGGGAGAAGACAGCTGAATGCTGAGAACCTGATACGCAGTGACCATCCTCTGTGAGCGCCTGGTGAAGGACAGCCAACCGTGGACAACTCACAGTCCAAGCTGCACAGAGCTGCTTCCTCTGACCTGTACTTGAACCCTCCACACCCACCACCTCCCGCAAAGCGCAAAGGGATAGTAAAGAATCCTAAGGCTCTGTTCCTATATACACACATACACCAGGTGCACACACATACACACTCATGTGCACTCATATATGCAGAGACGTGGTATACATGACAATGTCGGAGTCATTTAATTTTATATGACTCACATAAAATCCAGCCCTTTTAATGGCTCACTCTCAGTGCTGTGTCACATTCAAAGAAACACAGTCTAGTAAGCAAAGGTAATTACATAGCACATGCTATTATAATCTTTGCAAATATCTTCCAAAGAACATTAAAGGAGACATAATTCTTAGCTCAGAGGAATTTAAAAAAATCTCCTGTGCTCCCCTTTTGCTGTTTCATGTCCTGCAATTGCTTTCCAACCTCCTGATTCTCTGTCATGCCAGTCCTCTGCTCTTATCTTTTCTTTCTCTTTCTTTCCTCCCAATCCTCCAGGACTGTTTCTCTATAATTCTTCTTCCAGATCTCCAGGGATCAAGGAAGGGAGAGGTCACGTCTGCTTGTGGACAATCAGGAAATGGCCCCTGGAAAGGCTGGCATTGCAGATGCCCTTTGACTAATCAGTGATAGAGAAAAGAAGGACAGAAGGAGAGAGGAGACGGACAGCTGTCAGTTACCTTAGAATCCCAGACTCACCAGCTCCTGGGCTAGAAGGGCCATTAGGGCTGGGCAAGGCCATGGTGCAGTTTAACGAAGCTGCAAAGATGCATGATGCGGTTGGTCCATACCTCTAGTAGCTCATGCAATGTGACATTGACTGCAGTGGAGTGAGGGCAGTCTAGAGGTTTGCACTGGGAGATTTCAGGGGACAGAAAGAGGGCCGGTGGGAGTTAAAGAAGGCTGCCTGGGAGAGGCCACAGGTAAGCTGGGTGTATGACATTACTGAGGGAACCCAGGGCTGACAGGCTCTTCTGGGCAGAGGGAATGATCTGAGGAAAGGTAGGAAAAAGGAGGTGGTTAAGGAATGTATTATTTGAGCACAAAATATGAAGAAAGGAGTGATGGAAGATAAGCCTAGAGAAACAAGCTTATATGGAAAGTCTTGCTGGTCATGCTAGGGAGTTCAGAATGTGCCCTGCAGGGAATCTCAGGGGGTTTCAGCAGAGAAAGACACGAGTAGACTTGCCCTGTCCACGCAGTTACCCAGAGACACGTGGGAGCGCACTGAGCCAGGGGAGAGGAGGAGGGAAATGTAGGACGAAAACAAGAGGGAATTTGGGAGGCGGAGAGTTAGTCAGGGCTTGGCCGTAGCAGGTGAGAAGGCAGGAAAAGCCAAGGGCGATTCTCAGGTTTGGGGTCAGGAGACAAGCAGACGGTCAGAGTCCTGGGGTGAGTGGTGGGAGAGGCACCCGCTGTGGGGCCTAGGTGAGGGGCAGCGGGTGGAGCCCTGGGCCAGGGAAGGACAGCGAACAAGGGGCTAGAGAAGTGTGTGGAGGAGCTTCAGTGCCAAACCACAGGGGTCAGAGCCTAGACTGTTGGTCTGGCCACAGTGGGAGGATGGCTGGAGGGAAATGGTGTGGGGGTGGCGGCTGTGGTCTGAACACAGGGACTAGAGAAGGGCCCCAGGTGGACACCATTTGAGGTAGGGGCCCACAATTCTATAACCACAGTGTCTGGGTTCAGTTCCTAGCTCTGCCACTGGATGGCTGTGTGACCTTGGGCAAATCACTTAACTTTTCTGTGCCTCAGTTTCCTCATCTGCAAAAGGAGTATGTACTTCAAGGGCTGTAATGAGGAAACAATGAATTTACAAATGTCAGTTATGACTTGATACATGGTAAGTATTGTGTCAAAAGTGCTATTATGATGTTACACATGGTGTTTTATTGTAGAGTATATGTATAGTATCTAAATATATGTTCCATGCATTTGGTCCATATACTATAGTGTGTATATGTATTAGTCAGTTTGGGCTGCTGTAATGAAACATGATAGACTGGTAGGCTTAAACAACAGATGGGGTTTACCTCTCACAGAACAGGGCAGTCCAAGACCAAGGTATGGACAGATCGGGTGTCTGGTGAGGGTTTGATGCCTACTGTGCACACAGCTACCTTCTTCTTGTATCTTACTTGGCAGAGAGAGAGAGAGGGGGAGAGACAGGAAGAGAGAGAGACACAGGAAGAGAGAGAGAGAGAGAGAGAGAGAGAGAGAGAGAGAGAGAGAGACAGGCAGAGAGAGAGAGAGGAGATCTTTGTCTCTTATTCCACCACGAGGGCTCTACCCACATGACATAATTGCCTCCAAAGTCTTGCCTTCTAATACCATCACATTGGAGGTTAGGATTCCAATGTTATGAATTTTGGAGGAGACATAAACATTCAGTCTATAGCATCTAATATGTGCTGTCTACTTCTATGATATGTTACATATGCTATTATTATAGTAAATACTACAAACATATATTAGTATATTAACAGATATTTGTATTCTTTATATTTAAATATGTGATATATAGTTTAAAATAATATACAATCTGTAATATAGTAAATAATATATATATAATAGTAGTAATATGCATTATTATATATAAAACACTATATGATTGCATGTTCTGCATGTGTCCATTCTGTATATATGATTACTGTAATTAATCTGTAGGGTAGATTCTGTATATATGATTTCTGTAAAAGCAATTATTAACATTATCTTTATTATTAGAATCCATTCTGTGCCACTGATGCTGAGGTTAATAGAGAGGTAGTGAGAATAACATAGAACTTCTGAGTCTTGTTGATACTAGGACTAGAAATAGATCTGATTGTGTGTGTGTTTGTGTGTCTGCGTGCTCACACACATGTACACATCGGTAGGTAATAAATCTGGCTTTGAGCACAAAATCACAGACAGAACTGATAGGAATACTGCAGGCCATCTGATCCAATTGCTCGTTTTGTTGATGAGGAAAGCGATGTCGGTGCTTCATCGAGCAACCTAAGGTCCCACTATTGCTGGCAGTTCTCCTGTCTCCTCCCTTCTTGAATTTGGGCATAATCCAGTGACGATGGTTAGCAAAGAGATGAGGGAGTGGTCCTTGGGGAGGCTCCTCCACTGGAAGATTCGGCTATTCTTCCTTTACTTGAGTCTAGTGCCATGCTTCTCTCCTGCCCTTCCCTGCTTCTCTCTGCTTTCACTTCCCATCTTGACATTTAAAGCCTCTGTTCTCTGAGTGACAGTGATGCTAATGTTTGTCTTTTGGGGGGCTCCTTTTGATCCTAGGCTCAGAGAACACTCAAGATAGTAACAGATTAATGCTTTTAAAACCCAATTTAAAGCAAGAAGGAGCGGGTGCCTGTTTTGTCCTGAAGCCGGAACCAGGTGAGTCACTGTGCTCCCTGTGGTCAATTTTCTGAGAGAGTATCATCTTGAGGAGGACGGATGAATTACCTTCCAAGGAGGCATCCAAGATTCAGGGCTGTTTTTCCAGCCCCACGGAGTCCCAGGGATTGTTTGAGTTCTCTGTTGAAGACCCTTATGAGGAGCAAAACTTTTTTTCTGTAGATTTCTCACATCATCTTGGCTTGAGAGAAAATATAGTAATTTTAGGTGGTTTGTGATTCTAGAGGTGTCGTGAAAGACATTTCCAAATACATTTTGGGATGTTGCTGGATAAATCTAACCCCTGCCTTCACTTTGACCCCACTCCGGGATCACTGGGAGGCAAGGCTGTACTGCAGCTGTGCGTCTTCGCAGCATCTCAACCTCCTCTCCCACATCCAGTTCTTCTCCAGTATCCAAGGCTTCCATGCTATCTGGTGTGACCTGAGGACCAGTGTGACCACGCCCCCTGTCCTCCCCGAGCATACCCTTGCCGTGTCCTGTCCATCCTCTGCCCCTGATTGGCATTGACACCTTGTACCTCAGCCTCAGTGCAAGGACATTGAACCAGGAGCAGCAGATGGGGGAGCCAATGTGGGGATGGGGAGAATGAGGCCTGGCATGGTCTTTTGTCCAGCGACTCTCCCCTGGGTGACCACCCTGAAGTGGATGTCATTTCTGATCTAAGTGGAAGGGTAAGACATAAAGGACAACTGGAGTGAGGGTGCGGGAGGCTGTCCCACTCAGACAATGGTGTTTGTAGCAGAAGCTCTTCTCTGTAAGGGGAAGGTGGACGCACCAGGATCTTGATTGTATTTTCCAGCTGAGTCTTCCTGATCTGGACAAGTTTTAAAACTTTAGAATTTTTAGAGCATTGGTTTGGCATGATGGAGCCCACACATAATTTATATAAAAGTAATAAACGGTTCATTTAAGCTTCAGTTACACACAACTCAATGTAACACTGAGTTTTAAAAAGTGCCAGAAAATGATATACCCTATGAAATACTTTTAATAAAAGCAACTAAAGTGAAACAACTTTTTTTTTAAAAAAAATATGTTTTAAGACTATGTGCAAAATAAAAAGGAAAATGTTAACCCAGGTGTGGGGGCGTGGCCTGTAGTCCCAGCTACTTGGGAGGCTGAGGCAGGAGTTTGGGGCTAGCCTGGGCAACACAGCAACAGCTTGTCTTTTTAAGAAAAAAGGAAGAAAGAAAAAAGAGGAAAGAAAAGAGAGGAAAAAGGGAAATGTTAAACCTTTGGTTAAGTCAGTTTTGGAGAGGTGGGGAGTGGAAGAGTAGTATATGTGCAGATATGAATTGTTCCTACTATTTTGGGTTTTGTGCTCATAATGTATTCACAGATACTTAGATTAGATTATTAAAATAATATAAATTATTGTAATACAAATGAAATTGTATGGGCCAATTACAAAAATGAGTTACTGATCTAGTTAGCATTTATTCATATGCCCAGCAGTGTTCTAAGCACTTTATATATACCATCGACTCACCGAATCCTCAAAACAGTCCTAAAAGGTGGGATTATTGTTATTTCTACTTTCATGAGGAAACAGAGGCACAGAGAGGTCAAGTAACTAGCACAATACCACACAGCTGAGTGGGAATTCTAACCTAGGCTTCGCATCTCCAGAGTTCTGCTCTCTTAACCACATGTGTTGTGAATGATGTACTTCTGTGAACCCAAGGTTCATAAAGAAAGAGGAACAAGTTACCTGAAGAAACTGGTTACCTAAGAAACAAGAAGCAGGTGGAGTGTGCAGGGAAGGAGGGGTGTGTGGCCTTAGTCTGGGAGAAAAGCAGGTGGTTTAGTCTAGGCTGTGTTGGTTGGTTACCCTCTTCCCTCCCAGGCAAAATACTCGCACCTTAGCAAGACCTTACTGTGTTGATTCTCATAGTGGGGATTTTGGGTGACATGGCAGACTGATGGGAGACCATCTATTGATTGTGTGAGTCTTCGAGCTGTCTTTGTGTCATATTGGTGATCTGGCTGCTGGCTACATGGAGTTAGTGCCCCTTTTTGTTCTGCCTCAAGAGTTACCATCTATTAAGCAAATATTGATTTCTTAAGTTAAATTGTAACGTCTCTTGCAACAGGAGTCAATATTTGTTTGATAGCATTTCTGGTGACTAAGTGCAGTGAGGTGGCTAGTCTGTCCATCAACAAGACCTAGCACAGACATCTCCTTCTCCTTTAAGGAAGAGATTCTCAGACAGTAATTTCCAGAACAGTAGGACTAACATCCTTTGGGAAATTTTTGGAAATGCAAATTCCTGGGCCTTGCCTCAATCCTGCTGAATCCAAAGATATGGCGGTGAGAGCCAATCCCACCAGTGGCATGCTGGCAAATGTTTAACAAGTGGCCCTTTGAAAAAAATGCATGTAAGATTTATGTACGTAAATTTTGCTGATACGTTGAATGTGTAGCACGTGATTTACAAATAATAAAATATTCTGCATTCTTCACTACGAATGTTATGTAGCCATTTGGCTTTCACGGAATGCTTTCATTGCTTTTTTGTCAAACTCTTGTATCAGCGACAACCTATGGTTGCAATTGATGAATGAGTGTAGTTCCAACATGAATGTTGATATTTTTGTTTATATTAAGAAGTAGGATGAAAGTGAAACAAAATGAAGACATATGCCACAATGTCACTTGTTTTATCAGTGATGTAAGCAATTTCTTTGCTGAATCAGATAATAGTTTTCAAATGCTGGAAGACTATTTTCTCAACTTGTTTTTTCTATTCACAATATAATAGCTACAGGCTAATATTTTGAAAGCTAATCTGTATTTTTACAATGTTTCAACACTTTCTTAAGTCTAGACCTTCAACAAAATAATAAATCAAGCCCATTTGCTCATTTCTGTGGTGTCAATATTTCTATCATGGCCAGTTTCAAGCCACAGCATGACACTACTGAATAAGGAGTTAGAGAGAGATGTGTGGCCCCACATCATTATGTACTATGTCCATCGTACAGATGTGGTAAATGTAAATATCCTCCACAGATAATAGATATATGTAGTACAATAATTAGGAAATTGCTTCTAATGCAATTTGATTTTCACATAATTTCTTAATCTACACATTTTTATAATTTACTTTTTAATGATAGCTTGTGTTTCACAACTGGCTTGCAGAATTCCTGAAAATGTGACAGTGGCTCGCATGAGCTGGTATGAATCGCTCCAGGACAACACCGGGCCTACCAATCTGTGTTTTAACAAGCCTGCCACGTGATTCTGATGATGCTAAATTTTGTGAACCACTTCTTAAGCAGATATTGAAGACTAGAAATGCATGTAGCTATTCTTTCTTTCTTTATTTTTTTTTTGAGACAGAATCTTGTTCTATCGCCAGGCTGGAGTGCAGTGGTGCAATCCCAGCTCACTGCAACTTCCGTTTTCCCGGTTTCAAGCAATTCTCCTGCCTCAGCCTCCTGAGTAGATGGGACCACAGGCACGCGCCACCATGCCCGGCTAATTTTTTGTACTTTAGTAGAGACGGGGTTTCACCATGTTGGCCAGGATGGTCTCGATCTCTTGATTTCGTGATCCACCCGCCTCGGCTTCCCAAAGCACTGGGATTACGGGCATGAGCCATCGTGCCCGGCTGCATGTAGCTATTCTTAACCTAGAACTACATGCTTTCTGTTTGGCCAACCAAATGCTATACTCAAATGTTTAAGCAAGTTCAGACTGGGACAGTGGGGAAAGAAGGAAGTGCATCTAAAGAACAGAGAAATGAGAAAAGGTTTCAATTTTAGATCTTTGATTTTTTTCTTTTGGGTTTGGCCTGCTTTAGTAAACTGTTCATAGATATTCAAATAAACCCTAGACTAAATTACAGCTCAGTTTATTCTCTTGAAACAAAATGGTAGCCAATGCAACTGCTCAAATGGCATATCTTCTGAAGTCTAAAAAAACTAGCTAATTCATTCAATAAATACTTACTAAGGACTACGATGTGCCAGGCACTATGCTGGGTATTAGTCATGCAGCCTTGAACAAGGTAAATAAGGATTCTGATCTCAAGATTTTAGAAGGAAGAAACAGAAAAACCCAAGTAAGTGCCTTAGGTAAGCAAGATAATTCCTTGAGAAGGAAGTTACATGGTGGAGGGTGTTGGGTGGGAAGGGACTGCTTTCTGGCTGGGGGATTAAAGAGGAGCTTGTTGAGGAGGTGTCAATAAGGTGGATGGTGAATCCAGTCATGTAACTACCTGGGCAAAGAGCGTCCAGGCAGAGGAGACACCGATTGCAAAGATATTGAGTTGGGAACAGATTTGATGTGCTGAAGGCCTGCCTGGTAAGAGGGCTGATGTGGCTGGAACAATGTGAATAAAGCAAGAATGAAAGAAGATGTGTTGAAAGGCAGGTAAGCAGGGGATAGATCAAGTTTTAGGCCATGCAAACATTTTGGATTTCATTCTGACTGATAGGAATCCTTTGGAGGCTTACAGCAGGGAGTGACTGGTCTAATTTCTGCTTTAAAAAGATCACTTACTACTGTATAGAAAATAGGCAAGATTGGAAGCAGAAAAATGCACTGGGAAAATGTTCAAAGAGGCCCAAGGACCAGATAACATGGCTTGGAATGGAAGTGACCAGATTTGGGAGGTACTGTGGTGAAACAGCAGATTGTCTTGGCTGAGAGAGGGTGGCAGATTCTAAGAACTAAATAGACCATTGGCCCTACCATCTTTAAGCAAAGCGGACTAGAATCCTTTATATTTATGTCTGCTTATGTCTTAGCACACTGGTTGATCTACCGGTTTCAGAATCATGTATACAGGAAGTACTAGATAAGAGGTGGCCCATTAATTGCATGGGTGGCTGAAGAGGTAATACTCGAGATAGTCTAAGAAGACCGAGGATAATCCTCTGACCACAGCCCCATGAGCTTAGGTAGATAAGGGCCAAGCATGAGTAAGAATGGAGATCGCCGCATTACCTCCTCATTCCTGTGTGTAGATGTGAGCAGCAATTAGCGGTGTGTGTTTGTGGCATTCTCACTCTGCTTGAATTGGGTGATGAAACCTGTGGCAGGGGTCAGGGAACATTCACCTTTCCCATGCCATCTCCCAGGCTTGGTGTGTGCATTTGCCAGGAGTGGGCTTGGAAAATAACCTCCCAAGGACTTTGGCCTGCAGGTGGCTTAGCCTGTGGATAATTGATACTGTCTTCTGATGCATACAGAATAGGAGCTACCACAGGGAGACTCACAGGGATTTCCAGTCCGATGCTGAGGTTGTTACTGTGGTCTATATTTTGTGAATTATTCAACATATGATTTTTATTCAGTGATTTAAAAGAAAATATGAACACACTAACATCTCATTGATCCAGTATTCTTTGAGAATACAACATTCCATGTAAATGCATTTTTCATGTATGCCTTTAAATGTCAAGGCATGAAACATTTTGAGCACTTGGGAGAGAATGCTTTCTATAGCAAGTGAGACCCTGAAGCAGAGGATCTGTATGGTTTAAACCTTCCTTGAAGCCTCCTGTTCATCACTGTGACTGTCATTTACCACTTTACGCTATAATGCAATGACACAAGGACCGCAAGTGCCGTGAATCAGACTATTGTGCAAATTCCTCATTCCCTCTTTTTCTCTTTGGAGAACTAGGCCCCCCTTAGAGTGTTTTACATCTAAGTTATGACACCTAGTTATGACACCCAGCGGCAGAGTGCAAGCAAGCCAGGGCCACCTTCCACAGCACTGTTTCTTGTTAGAAAATTGGTGCTTTTAAGAAGATCGTTCTTCCATGAGAGGCTTTGCCTAGTTATCGTCTAGTTAATTATCCAGGCTGCGTTTACTGGAAGCAGAAGTCTCAGAGTTTCCAGAAGTTATATCTCTGTTCTTCTGCTCATCTGAGTCATGTGCACTGAATGTGACTCCTCCACACATGTGTATTACTTATCAATACAAAAACTTACTATTGCTCCTCACTCATAAAAAGCATCCTTACCATCTAGGAGGCCAAAAGAATGAAAAGGAGTCAGA